TGTCTGATCTTAACATCTACCAGTATGCATGTGATCATTTTCACATTAGTGTATGTATATGTATGAGGGACCATTAATCACCTGCCCAACAGATTTAAAGCAGAGATTTTTCCTAGGCAGGCTATTTCAAATTCTATAATAGGATATTGAAAACTGTTGCTGAAATTTGTACACAGCATACAGAAACATGTACTTGAACTGATAGGATTCCTCTAAAGTTGCTAGCTTTTACTTGTTTTTACAGATATGGATAAACTATTAGAGCAAGAAAGGACAACCTGTGGCCTCCAAAACCATTTTAATGTTTGTGGGGAAAACAGGAGACCATCTTGAGCTAATATACATACATAGATTGACAAGACAGAGATACTGGCAGGATAAAAACTATAAAAGCCCCTTACTGCAGTTACTGAAAACTGATGGTGCATTTTTGAGACAAGAAATGAAAACAATAACACATTCCTTAAAATAGATTTTTTGCATCTAATAAACAAGAACCCATCAAGACACCTCCTGAAATCTCATATCCACCAAAAAGCTATATATTTCCCATTTTAAGATTATCATTCTATCTGCCTTAGTCCTTACTTCCTCTAAACAACCAAGGGCTTCCTTTTCATTTCTGAGTTCAGTGAAAACTATGCCCAAAGAAGAAGCTTGCAAAAACAAGCTTCTTCTAGGCTAGCCTAGAACAGTCTAGGCTAGTATCACAGGAAGAGTGCTTAGGGTGGAATACAGCCTGCACATTTACTGAGGTTTGATCTTTCATGGACCATTTCATCGAGTTCACGGTGTTGTCCAAAATGTCTTGGAGCAGAGTTAATAAAAGTAATACGGTATCCATTCAAGCTTGGCTTGGGAAAGGCTGAAGGACACTGTACACTCCTACTTTTGTTATCCCTTTTAGGGATAGGTAAGCTGTATTTGTGTCAAGAACTGAAAGAAAAATGCAGAACCACTAGAAAAACACACCGACACACTTCTTACTGTTGGAGCCAGATAGGAGCCCCTATCAGGGTGGTTGGAGCGGATCAGCCCCGGTTCTGGAGACTCGTTTTTGCACCCGCTCAGGGGGTTCCACGCTATTATCCCAAGACCCGCCGGGGGCCACTCTGCCATACTTGGCGGCCTCCCTGAAACCCCTCCCGCCGGGTGCAATAGCGGCAGAAGAGGGCGAGTTCGTAACGCTTCTGTCCAACCACGGCCCCCAACCCCCGTGGCCTCGACTGCGGGTCCTTGTTAGCCCCAATCCCAACAGGACGCCCTGGTGGAAGCTCCGAACAGTAAACGAATATGCCAAGTGCTAAAGGCTGCTTCTCTCTTTCTCTCTCCGAGTTAGACGCCCAATTTATGAGAAAGGAAAGGGTTGCGGCGTCTCCCCCCCCCTCCCCGCTCTTTTCCTCCACACCAATTCTACGCACGCCCCCCTCCCCAAGCCGTCTCGCCGAGCGCTGTTTCCGACCTATTTCCACCACGTGCCGCGAACCACCACTGCGCCTCCTCCCTTACTGTTCATCCTCCGAGCCCGCCTCTCCCGCAGGTTCCCGCCAGGTCAAGGGGTGGGGAGGGGAGGGGTCGAGGACACGGGTCCTCTCTGAACCGCCAGACCCCCTCCCCACGACAGAACTTGTCAGCGCGCCATGTTGTATTCCCGTCACCCTGGCAACCCCAGAGCATCAACCACCTCAACCCGGGAAAACGACCTAGCCCCACCCTCGCAGCGGTGCGGCCTCTGACAGAGTGGCGCAAGCGCAGTTACTAACCTCCGCCCTCCCCTATTGACTGCGGCAGGCGAAGGGCAGGATTCATGTTTGCGGGCTTTCAGGATTGCGCATGCGGAGTGTTCAATTTACTCCTCGCCCGCCGGCTCCCAGCCCCTCTCGGCTTTGCGCATCCTCAGTCGTTACGACTGTCTCGGGAGGGTCTCTCACAGTCGTCTCTCCCGTGCCGAGTGCGGGTATGCGGTACGGGTTTTTGTCTTAGGGCGAAATCCGCCATTGGTATTAGTTGAGGAGGCAACAGAGTTGAATATGTTTTTCCTGGGAATAAGCCCTGTTCCAGCCGCCCATTAAATAGTGAACTATGAACTAAAACTATGTTTTAGTGTAGCGTGGCATGGAAATCGACCAAGCTCCATTTTAGTCCATCATTTGGTGATTGGCAATGGTCAAAGAGATGCGAGTGGGGTGGGGCAGAATGAAATGGCGTGGAGACATAACTCTCCTGCAGGTGTACTTCTGCATTTGGTACTTGCAGACCTAGTGCAGCATATGGTACTAGGAACCCAATAAATTGGGTTAACTGTACAGTCCTATTTTGTTATCCCTTTGGAGGTAAACTCTATTATGTAAATGTATTATGTATATGTATTATGACAAAGGCAGGAGGAAAAGCAGATTAAAGCAAAGCGCAATCTAGTTCACACCAACACCGCTCCATACCCTTCCATCCTTGCAAATTATCCTTGACCCACTGTCCATACACTTCATATATTGCCTGTTGAACCTCTTTGAGGATTTCATCAATTCTATCCAGTCAAGTTTTTTTCCAGTTGTCCTCTTCCAGTCTTTACCCATTCACTTTTCCTTTAAACTTTCAATTTGCTATTCAGTCCTCATTCATTCTCTCTATAAGAAAATATTTCTTTTGTATTAACTGCTGTCTTTTGTATTTGACTTATGTTCATTCAGAATCCATTCATTCTGGACCCTACTGGTTCTTGTTTTACCATTCAAATAACCCATTAAATAACCAACTCCAGTTGCATTCACCTTTTGGGACAATTGTCACTGAGTAGATAAAACCATGTTCTTACATAGATAGATAACCTTTATTGTCATTTTTGGGGTCATTTTTTACTGTGGGCATACTGGCACACATTAAAAATGAAATTCTGTTGCCTACTTACAAAAGTGTACACATAGATACTGGTAACAAACATATACAGATGCTACCGTATTTCCCTGAAAATAAGACCCAATTTTATTTTGGGGGGCTCCAAAAGACCCATTAAGGCTTATTATATATCTACACCCATACATATAAATACATACATACATACATACATACATACATACATACATATTTATTAATCACTGTCTATCTTGAATACATTCTGAATTCCTCAGAAAGAGGAAGCTTGAGAATTCACAATGTTCACATACAGCCATTTAAATTTTTTCAACAAACATTTCTTACAACAAATCACGGGCTGTTCATTTACCTTTCTACCAGCATTTATAAATCTTAAAAACCCACTCTCTTTTTCTCCATTTTTATAAACATTCTACACTATCAACATACACAAATTTATGATTACTCTCAGTTTTCACCATTTGTGCATTATTTACAATTGTTCACTCCATTTTACCTGTCGAACAGCTATCTTGGTCTTTGATACATTAATTTACAAATCCATACTCCTGGTTGCATTGTATAATCTGTTCTAACATTCATTGCAACTCTTTTGGATTCTCAGGTAACCACACAGAATTATCGGCATACAAAAGTGTATGAATTAATATCTCTAACTTCATCTAATTTCTTATACATTTATTCCTACCAGTATATACATGAAAGAAGCAAAAGGATATCATGCCTCCTTGCCTTAGTCCCTGCTGACTAGTGAATCATTCTCTAAGCATTACATTTATTTTCTTTCATGTTTTGCTTCTATCATATCTGTGAATGATTCAAAGCATATTCTAAATAAATTGGATCTCATTCCGCAAGAGATAAAACCTGGCTTATCTGAATGAAATGAAAAGGGGAAACAGGACTGGCCCACTTAATACTGTACTCTGATGGAAGATCATCAGGGCATTAGTATAAATGAGAAGTGAAAAATATCAAAAATACTGCCAAAGCATTACTATAATGCTTTGAAGAAAATTGCGTGCTTCTGCCTAAGTAGTTATCAGGAATTGTACTTTACTCCATGGTGTCCACAATTCCCTGGATTTGCTACAGATAGTCATCAATTTATGAGCACAATTGGGACCAGAATTTACATTGCTAAGCAAAATGGTTAAGTGAATCACATCTGAATCACACCTGATGTTTTGTTTTTTTTGCCGTGGTTGTTAAGCAAATCACTGCCGTTGTTAAGTAAATCACACACAAATCCAATTCCCCCCATTGACATTGGTTGTTGGAAACTGGCTGGGACGGTTACAAATGTTGATCATGTGACCCTGGGATGCTGCAACCATCATAAATATAATGCCAAGCATCCAAATTTTGATCATATGACTGGGAATGCTGCAATGGCATAAGTGTGATGAATGGTCCTAAGTCACTTTTTACCTGGCAGGGGAGTTGTAGCTCTGAAAGAGTGGTTGTAGGTCAAGGAGATCGTGAAACTGACATTATAAACTAGGACAGACTAAAAGAAATCTCAAAGAATTCCTTGAGATTTAGTAATAAGTAAATGTGCTTAAGAGAACACTGCTTATTTAAATTCTGACTGAAATAACAGAGTGGGTTTGATATATTTATCAGATGAAATAACACTAATTATTACTAGCACTAACTATGTGATGCTACTAATAGGTTATTTCATTGTAGAACCAGGACTGAAGGGATATTAACTTTAATGTATTGTTGTTGATTCACTTTGCTTCATATGCTCCACATATTGAAAAAAATGTGTGAATGGAAATTTGAAAATTCAAACTTTGAAGCTGTGTACTGCTGCAAAAAAGCTCGTTTGTGAAGAAATTAGCTATGAACTTTTATAGCATTGATAACATTCTTTGCGAAATAATCTGCTACTGTATGTACTTTTCCTTTGCTCTGGTGTGGGATTTGTAGTCTGACAGAGAAATCACATAAGATAAGTTATAGATGTGAAGTGCTGAGTTATACAATGGAAAATTAAAATAAAAAGAAAGCGAAGAACTTTAAAAATAGTTCCTACCCACTTTGTTGTCGAGATTTAATAACAGAAAGACGGTAAAATAGAGCACTTTAACAAGATGGCCGGTTAGCTCAGTTGGTTAGAGCGTGGTGCTAATAACGCCAAGGTCGCGGGTTCGATCCCCGTACGGGCCATCGGGATGCTTCCTTTTTCGTTGAAATTCAAATAATAGTGTTGGGCATATACCTTTAATAACTTCAAGAAATGAGCTAATATACCTCGAAAGCAAATCTGTCTTGCTTTCAATTAAGTTGATTATCCGGCATCGTGTGCATGTGTTCATCTTTAACCCTCTTCCAGACTTATAACCTAATAGCTCTCCGTGCAAAGCGAGGAAATCAAAAGACGTCCGATTTTAAAACCCCATGAAGTTCATATGAACTGAATGGCCGTTTGTATCTTTAAACAGTGCAGACCGGGTGCTCTTTTGGGGTTGCCTTCGCAAATTAAGTACCAGTCTTCGAGAAGGCAAAGAAAACCGCAACAGTCGTTTTTCTTGTTCCCCGCCATCGCTTCTAAAGGCGGCTGAACTCAACTCCTTTTCGGATCGGGAGACGCCGGACGGCAATCATCGGCACCACACCAGATCCAGCTCCCCGGCAGAGCTCCCGCTGCAGCGCTCGACTTCCTTCTCCGCCCTTCCCGTGACGTACCGCAGCGAACCCAGCATACCCGCCCGCTCCGGTGTTCCCCGAGTCCTCCTCGACTCCTGAGGCGCGAGATGGGGCCTTCCCCTCCACCACCTCCCTCCTAAGATGTCTTCTCCGGGCTTCAGGAACGACGACGCTGCTGCTGCTGCTTCTGCTGAGGGTCCGGCACCAGGCCCTCCTCTGGGCGAGAGCCTGTTGACGCCTGTCCCTGAACTCCCCCGCGGGAAGCCTCATCGGGCGCCCGAGGCAGGGACTCTTAGAGGTGTCCCGGGAAAGCTACAAGACGAGGGGCTGCCTCCACCGGTCGGAAAGGCGACGGAGAAGGCCGGGGACCGTCGTCCCGCCGGGGCTGCCGTATTACCTCAAGGGCAAGGCAGCCCCTGGCCCCCTCCCTTCTTGCTGGCTCTGAGTTTCAACCCCTCGCCTTCGGGGTCTCGTCTGCCGACGGTCGGCACCCTGCACAGCCTTTCGCAGCCGGGGCAGGATGGAGCTCAGGAGGCCGGATCCGAGGCAAAGCCTCTTCCTTTGACGGGGCCCCTTCTCTCCGAGGTAGAAGCCTGCCATGTTCGTTGATGGCGCTTCCCAGGAAATCGTAAAGGGAGTCGTGAACGCGAATTGTAGAGATTGGCGTGGTGTTTTATCCCGCGTTCCTTGGTGCTTGTTTCAACTGGACCTGGTTTAAAGGATCGTGTGAAAAGTCACACCTCCCCGCCCCCCTCGCTTTCTGGCCTTATCGGTTTCCGCTTGCAACACTATATATCCAGTTCTGGAGACCAAAGCAATCAGGAATTGGAATGAGTTCAGCGGAGGGCTACCAGGAGGGTGAGGGGACTGGAAACGCAAGTCCTTTCAGGGGTGAATAAAGGAATTAGACACGTTAGCTTGCAAAAGAAAGGGAAAAAAAACTGAGAAAGGAAACACGATAATAATAAGGATCAAATATCTGAAGTGGTGGATCACACAGAAAACGGTGGATTTACTCTTTATTGCCTCCCAGAGGAAATCCTGAATCTGTAGGTTAAAAACTCCAAGGGAGTAGGGCTCAGAGTAGATTGACTGACTGACTGACTGACTGACTAACCTATTTATTTATTTATTTATTCATGCATGCATTAGATAACATATAAGTATAAACATAATTATGAATACATGAGATGGATACAAATAAAAGGAGACATTAGGACAGGGATGGTAGGCAGGTTGGTGTGCTTATGCACGCCCCTTACAGACCTCTTAGGAATATCAGGAAGTGCTTTGGAACTGTTGTGTTCTCCAACGATGAAATGGGTTTAACACAAATTGTAAGTTTTCTTTCATGGATGTCTTGAAACAAGCACTCAGTGGGTTATCTGTCAGAAGCGCCCTAGGGCAGCATTTCCCAATCTGGAGAACTTTTGAGATGTGTGGACCAATTTTCAGAATTCAACTCATATTTGCTGGGGATTTCAGGGAGTTGAGGTGCCCATATCACAATGTTGTTTCCCAAGTTTAGAAATTCTACACTAAAGAGGAGCCAGACTAGATGACCCTCTTGAGATTCTTTCCAAGTGTATGATTCTGCAGTGTCCTGTTCCTATTTGACATGTTTCTTATTACTGAACCCTTGAAACTGAATGAACTTATGAATAGGCTCAATAGAGTCTAGCTAATTCAGTATTCTACACTGAAAAGCCCACTGAAAAGAGACTGAGTTCATTCACCACAGCATTAAGTTATAATTTGGCATATTTGTTTTGGGTTGAATGTGATATGGACAATGTAAACATGACGTATTGAGCAAACCATAGTTAAAATTACTCATGTCTAAGTGTGAGCTAGTCAATTGTTCTTTTGTTGTTACTCTTCAAAATTTACTACAGGTAATTCTTAATTTACAACCATTTATTTAATAGTCATTCGAAGTTATAAAGGCATTGAAAAAGTGACTTATGACCCTTTTCATACTTACAACTGTTGCAGCATCCCTAGGGTCACCTGATCAAAATTTTGGCATTTGGCAACTGCTATGTATTTATGACAGATGTGCTATCCAGGCATCATGTGATCACTACTTCTAACCTTCCCAGTCAGCATCCAACAAGCAAAAACTATGGGGGAACCTAGATTTGCTTAACAATCACATATTCACTTAATTACTGCAGTGTTTCACTTTACAACTGTGGGAAAATAGTTGTAACATGGTGCAAAGCTTACTTAATAGCTGCTTTGCAGTAGAAATTTTGGGCTCCATTTTGAAGATGAATGAAGATGAATTCATGTATGTTGGGTGTGAAGAAAATTTCATTTTAAAAATGATCCATAAAGTTTGTATTGTTTTCCAATGGATGTGCAGTATCCTCTAAGCCATATTAGATGCAAGTGTCACTGATTTCAGTGACTTTCAAGGTGCAACTTTTCTCTATTATTATTTTTTATAAGAAGAATTAAAATGCTGGATCTGGCTGTCTTGATCTGAATTCAGAAGCTCAGAAAGGTGGAAAGGATTAGGGTTAGGGTGCATGGGAAACCTCCAGGGATATCAGGGCAATGGAGTACACTGGAAATTAAAAAAAAAACAATCCTAGAGGAAGGCAGGGCAAACCACTATTGCTGCCAGGAAAACCACAGATAGTCCTCAATTAATGACCAGTCTCATAGCAACCATTTCAAATTACAACGGCTACTTACAAATTGGAATTTTGAAATTCCAATGGCCGCACACACAGCCTGCAGTCACATGATTATAACCAGCTCACATTTATTTATTTTCATGGCTGCTTGCAGTATCCTGCAGTCATGTGACCACAATTTTCTACATTATTTTTTTTTTACTGGTTTCTGGAAAAAAACTTTCACTGATAAAAAGGGGTTCAATTAACAACTGCTGTGTAGGCTTAACAAATGCAGCATTCACTTAATGGCCATCACAAAAAAAGATCCTAACATTAGGCACATCATGTGGTGTCTCACTTAATGACCACAGCTTACAACCATAATTCCAGGCTCAATTACAGTCGTGCGTCGAGGGCTATCTGTACATGTTCATGAATTCATCCAATGTTTAATCTGTAATCTGCATGGGACTTTATTTAAAATGTTGCATAACTAGCAAGTTTGTTACCTTTTTTGCTTCCAAAAAAGTTTCTAATGTATAGGATCAAAATAAAAGGAAAAATATAATTGTAATTAGAAAATGTTTATGGTCAAATCTTATCTACTTGATCTTTAATCTTTCCTCTCTTTTTTCATAAAACAGATGGAAACCACTCATGTGCAAGTAGAGTCTGATCATCAGATAAAAGAAAAGAAAAGTTTGGAATTATTTTCTGCAACAGCTCTGTCTAAAAATATAGCTGGATCTCAAGCAGTTGAGAAGAATTCTAAGCCTTTAGGACTCAGTGCCATTAATCCTGAGATTTTTCAGATACAATCTTTTACAGGCACTGGATCTCAACAATTTTTCTTATGTAATTCTTCTAAAGCTACAGTTCAACTACTTCTTCCGGCCCCCCTACATCCCCTTGGACAAGTACCAGTAAATAAAATAATTACACATGGGCAGAAACATAAATCCATTACAAAAGATAGAGAAGATTCTTCAAATGTTTCTTTGGTTCCAACTTGTTCAGCAAAAACCCTTTTAAATGAGGGGAAGCAGACAAAAGAACAAAAGATTAAAAAATCTCTGAAAGTAACAACTCGTTCTGGGCGGATTTCTCACCCTCCAAAATATAAAGTTAAGGACTACAAATTTATTAAAACAGAAGACTTGGCTGACTGTCACCCATCTGATTCTGATGACTATTCTGAGTTGAGTTTAGAAGATGATGAATGCAACAAAGTAAAGGAAGTATGTGAATTATTTAACCCCTTTAACTATGACCTGCGGCCAAAATTGTTTAAGTGTCAGAACTGTGAAAAATCCTACATAGGAAAAGGAGGATTATCCCGGCACTACAGAATAAATCCAGGTCATGGGCACCAAGAGTCTTCAGAATCGTCTCCTATAAATAGATTTTCTAGAATGACACAGCTGGAATGTGCTGAAAAGACAAATTGTGAAAGCAACCATCAACCTCCTTCACCTTTACCAGTTACTCTTGCTTTAGTAAGCAAAAATGGACTAGTTACAGAATTGGAAAAAAATCTTCAAACAGAAAGTGAACAGCAGGTAATACATATTCGTTGTTAATGCATTTAAAGAGAATGAACTGTAATCTGGTGCTACTACCAATATTTAAGAGTGATATCCTACCCACTATTTTAAAAAGACCTAAACCAATTAATAAAAGGAAAGAATAGATGCAAGAAATTAATAAAATAATATAATTGCAAAATAATCATACAGATAAAAGGAGGGGAAGGAGTCTGGCTAATTATCAATATAAGAATTCTAAGAAAAATGACTTGCAGGATCCAATCTGGGGCAGTCACACTGGGATGAGAAGTTTTGTCTTCTGAGCTTTCGGACTCATGCTGGAACCCATCTTCAGGAAACTTCTCTCTAGCCTGTCTTTTGGAGCCCATCTTCAGCCCATCTAGCTAGAAAGAAGTTCCCTGAAGATGGACTCCAGCATGAATCCGAAAGCTCAAAAGACAAACCTGCTCCTGGTGATTGACTCAGATTGGATCCTGCAACATTACCTTGGGACATGTATATTCACCTTCATTCATGGGAAAATGACTATTTGTTGAAATTGCCAATACAGGAGAATATTTGTAGCTCAGGCTTGAAATGGGGGGTCTTTGTGCTCTCTTGAGCTTGGTTGTTTTCTTGTAAATGTGTCATTACTCAAACTAGGTAACATCATCAGTGCTAGTGATGTTGTACTAGTTATGTTATGTAGTTTGAGTAATGAAATCTCTGCAAGAAAATAACCAACTCAGAGAGCACAAGTATCTCTCCTTTGTTGAAATTCCTTTTCCTCAGTGTTTTGTCAAAACAAAAAAATGAATATTAACAATCCATTGCTGAAAATCACAGGAGGATGTTTTCTTTCTTCAGCGTTGTGCTCCAGAAGCACAAATCTTGATATCCAAATTCCAAATACTAGGAATAAAGCCACGAAACACAGGCATATCATGAATGCACCCTAGCTGATTCAGAGTTATATTAACCATCCCCTTGGTATCAACTTGAAGTGTAGAAATAGGATAAATTTAAATCATAATTTAAATTTCCACTTCCTTAGCTGGATTTCCAACAGTAACTAAACAGGTAGTCATTGAGGATTAGCCAGTTAGGGTACCAGGTAAGAAACAAGGAGACTGAGAATTCTAGTCCAGTTTTAGGCATGAAAGTTGGTGGGGTGACTTGGATCTGTCACTCTTTCTCAGCCTAACTCACCTTGTTGTGTTGAAAACAAGAGGAAGGAGTATTAGGTATGTTTCTTCTTCAAATTATTTATAAAAATAATAAAGGTGGGATAAAAGAACGTTAAAAAACCACCTAATGGTGGTTGTCTGATGATTCGGTCACTTGCAGCTCTTAATGATGACTTAATGAACATCATTTGCCAGGATTGTTTATCAACAGCTGCTTCTTTGAGTTCTAGCAATAGTACTATAACAATAGCACTTAGACTTATATACCACTTCATAGTGTTTTACAGCCCTCTCTAAGCGGTTTACAGAGTCAGCATATTACCCCCAACAATCTGGGTCCTCATTTTACCGACCTCGGAAGGATGGAAGACTGAGTCAACCTTGAGCCTGGTGAGATTTGATCTGCCAAACTGCTGGCAGCCGGTAATCAGCAGAAGTAGCCTGCAGTACTACACTCTAACCACTGCACCACCGTGACTCTTATGTAATCTCGTGGATATTGTCAGCGATAGTATATAGATAATCGTCGACAATTGGGACTAGCATGCCTGAATGAATAAAAATGCATGTCTTCGAACTAAGATGCTAAGATGTTAAGAATCCCTTCAGCCACAACAAAAGAAATAATTAAATACTAGATAAAACAAAATGAAACTTTCATTGGAAACATTAATTACAAAGTTAAAGTTTAAACATTCTGAGTGCATAATGACTTGTTGGAAAAGTTTGCAAAACCAAAGACAATTAAACAAGCCAACAGAAGACAAAGTACCTATTCAAGTAGTCCTAGTCTTATGACCAGTCATTTAGCAATTGTTAGAGTAAAGCAATTCACTTAACAACTGCAACTGGAAGAGCTCTTGTTAAGTGAGTATGCAGGTTGTTAAATGGAGTGCCAGGATGAAGGGCGCTCTCCCCACCATACCCAAGTCCACTTAGCCCTGCCTTTTTCTGTAATTGCTGGTGCATCCAAGGCATGGTCTTCCTAACAAGGCCACTTTATGCCATCCTACAAGCAGCCTTCATTTGCCGTACCTTTCTAAGCATCTCCATATCTTTGTAACTCACTTTTTTTAACTGCAAGCAGCTCACTTTTCCATAGCTTTCTAATCTTCAGAACAGTGATGTTTGCTAGATTTCTAGCCCTAGAAAGGCGACAAAATCCCCTGGTGCCCTGATGGAACAGATCTTTGTTTCTGAAGGCCACCAAGGGACTTCTCCTTGCTGCATGAAGAGGAGGGGAAATCTCCTGGTGCGCTGCAGGAACAGACCTCTAATCCCCATCCCCTCTCCTTACAATTTACTGGCTTGCCCACTGAATTTCTAGAGAAGCTGGCAGAGAAGATGGCAAAAAGCGATCATATGATTGCAGGTCACTTGGCAACTGGTCATAAATGCAAGTCAGCTGTCAAGCACAGCAATGCGCGGGAGTTGGAGCAAACTTTTATGAAAGCCAGAATTGCTTTACTTTGAAGAGTTGCTAAATGACTGGTCATGAATCCAGGATTACCTGTATAGCTGTTTTGTCTTCTGTTGACTTGTTTAATTGTCTTCAGTTTTGTTAAATATCAGTGACTTTTCCAACAAGTCATTATGCACTCAGATTTAAATTTTAGTTTCATGCTAAATGCTTCCAATGAAAATTTCATTTTGTTTCATCTAATACTTAATTATTTCTTTTGTTGTGGCCGAAGGGATTCTTGATAATTTCTTTCAGCATCGTAATTCAAACACATATCATTTTTATTCTTTCAGCCATGCTAATAGTCCAACTGTCATATGTTAGCTCTGTGAAAACCATAGTCTTGATAATACTTTTGTTGTCAGGGTGATATTTCTTCACTTTAATATTTTGTCTAGAGCTATTTTCATAATCTTTTCCCCAAATGGCAAATGAGCATTTCATGGTCATAGGGTCACCATCCCTATGAATTGTTGAGGCCAAGAAGAAAAGTCTGTTACAATTTAGCCTCTCAGCCTATTTGTACTGGGTTGGCTTTGCCTATTGATGCAATTTTTCCTTTGCTGCCACCGTTTATGTTCACATATTTAATCTCAATTTTACAAAGAGCAGGACATCTTGTTTCTTGTTTTAATGCTGACCACCAGATCAGCAATTGTTCTTTCATCTTCAACAGATTCCTCCAGTCTTACTCACTTCCAGGCATTAAATGCTATTATTTATAGCGTATTTAACATACATGAGGGCATAAATTATTCTAATCTAAAATTAGGAAGCATGACAAGAAAGGAATAGTACTTACTCTATGTGGTGCGGCAGGAAGCATTGATGACTGTTGCTTTCATAATCATCTTGAATGTCAAATATGAAATAAAAATATACAGATTACCACTTCATAATTTGAAAAAGTTTGTAAGTTTACTGCTTCTCACCACATTTTTGCTTTTTACAATACTACATGTCTCAACATTTTTTATCCATAATGTCATTTTTTTTGTTTCAAAAATCCATTTGCTATCTTTGAGGGGTTTTAACTACCTTTATATGGTGAAATGTAGATTTATTACTATAATTTCAAACTGATTGATGAATATATAAAAACAAAACATTTTAAAGAATTCTAATGAACATTTTTTTTGAAGTCTGACATTTCTGCAGAAGATAGAAAGTCTGAAGCATACAGCACCTATTTGGGGCCTGGAAGAAGAAAACGGCAGAGAAGATCGTATCAACCAAAGATGGCTAATAGATCAAGATGTTCTACAACATTTAGCAGTCTTGGTCAATTATCTTCCAATTCTCTTAATAGTATCTCAGCAGAGCATCTTAGTAGATTTAAAAGAAAAGCTAAGCTAAAAGAGGTATTGTTCCTTTATATTATTACTTATTCCTATTTATCTGCATATTAAGAACACTTTATGACATTTCTAAATAAATTATGTTTTTTAACAGCTGATTCAGCAGTGCACCAATGAAGAGTTTATAGAACTGGTGGTTCCACGTTTGACAACAATTGTTACTGTATTTGAATTCCTGCTGATGAAGGCAAGTCTTTGAAAGTTGGTATTTTACACAAAACCATATTTTGTAGCAAGTAGGAAGAATTTGATCTAATGTCAGCAAGGCAAGTATGATATTGCCTGAGAGAAAATGGGATTTCCAAGGAAAGATTCAAAGAGCCTGCTGAATAGTATTAGAAAAAGTATATATGTGTAATCAGATGAAGCCAGTTCCATTATAACAGAAATGGAAAAGAAATCAAAGTTTGTAAATGAAATGTACATTTTTTATTTGTGAGCTTGCTTATACTTTTATATAGCTTTTGTTTTTGATCAGGCAGAGAAAAAACGTTCAACAAAAGCAGCCTTTCCAGATATTTACCAGGAGTTTGAAGAGCTCCATTCAATGGTAAAGAAAATGTGTCAAGATTATTTTAATAATTCTGAATTAAAGCAACCATTAAAAATAAAAAACCATAAGGTAAGCCTAATTCAGAGGTTTTTTTTGTTAGCAAAAGCTTTCTCAGTCAAATTATGTGTAGATAAAATGGATACTGCATTTCCTTAAAAAAGAAAACAATGAAAATACTAGCAATGTAGTTCATTGAAATGATCATTGAAAATACGAGCAATGTGGTTGGCAAAGTTTTTTTTATCAAATTCCTCTATATATGCATTCCTCCATCTTCACATAAACTATGCTGGATTAATATTCTGTTCCTATAATGGCCCATCAAATGGTTATAAAGAAAACAAGCAGGATGTGAATACTATACACTTGTCCCAATATAATAATCTCTGCAAATTGATCTGCTTAAATAAAACAAATGAAATAAACACTTATTATTTTGTTTTGCTGTGCTGAACTAATCAACAAAGTAAGAATAAAAACATAAAAGAACAAGACAATCTCAAAACTGATAATCATATAAATAATGCCAAAAATGAAGATACTGCTCAAAGGTTTCCCTTGCCCCTTTTTGGAGGAATTCAAGCATTGACAAACAATACAGTGTATATGTTGGTCAGTCTGGTATACATTTCTCCTTTCACTGTTATATAATAATTCTTTTAGTCAAACCCTAATCCTAATCTTAACCCACTGTTTTTGATATTTTGTTTAATTCTAAAAACTGGGAAATGTAGGAGAGAAGATATATGAATATAATGTAAAGCAGTGCTGTCAAACTCACAGCCCGGATGTGTTACACCAGGGGTGGGTTCTACTTACCTTTACTACCAGTTCACAACGGGATTGTACTTGTGTGCTTGCTTTGCTCGTGCATGCGCCTTGCTTCTGCGCATGTGCAGAAGCTTCTGCGAATGCGCAGATCACTTCTGATGATGTCAGGGTCAGTGAGCGGAGCCTCCCGCCGGTTTTACTACCGGTTCTATAGAACCAGTCTGAACCGGGGGCAACCCACCACTGCGTCACATGCTGGGCCCAGTTTAGCGAAGGGGAAAAAAGTCCCGATATGTCACATGATGCTGCCGTGACGCCGTGAGTTTGACACCCTTGATGTAAAGCATTCTGGAAGAATTATTTTTGAAATGGGTGAAGCAGATATTATGACATACTTAATTACTCAACTTCGATTTTCTTTTATTAGTAAGATTCTTGATAAACCCTGAGTAAATCATTGCATTAGATTTTAGAAAAAATGTGAAATCTTTAGCATGTAACAAACAGAAATGCAAAATCTTTGATTGCTTTTCATGATTACTATATGAATGACTGGTTATTTTCTACAGATGGCACTTTCAGTGAAGTTTTATTTTTGTGTGTTTTTAACAGGTAGCTGCATCATTAGGAATTACAGATTCTTTTCCTGAATGTACTGAATCTACTGATGAGCCTATATTGCTCCATATTTCAGGGCAGAAACGAGCAGCTGAGGTATAAAATAAATGAATTTTGTCATGGTAACACGTATATATTTTGCAACATTATAAACATGATAGGATGCTCTTATTTGTTATAAATCTATCTTCTGCTAAGTATCAGCAATGGATTGAAAATCATTTATCTTTTTGTAAAATTTGAACTTTACTATATTAATGGGGTATAATATTTTATTACACAGCATTGCTTCTTAATGTTCTCTTAATAATAGAATTAGTATTAGTGTTTCCTTTGAGTGAGATGGGGTGTGAATAATCTCTTGCTTTGGATTAGTTATCCTAATTCCTGCCATTAACCATTTTAGTTGCAGTTAATGGCAATTGTAGTCCAACAGTAGCTGAAAGGGCATTATCTAGTCCTGCCTGTTTTTTGTTTTGTCTTATGTATTGCAGCTGAAGTAAAAAAATATTGAACTTTTGCAAAATCTTCATTCAGCAGCCTCAATTGCAATGGGCAACTCTGTAGTTAAACAATTGCTAAGTGATTGTGTTTATGGCTTTACTTCAGCTTTCCTTGCTCTACAGTTCTGTGAAAGTCATCAATGTTTACTTCATCATCATTATAACTGCATATGGTCACTAAATGATAGCAATGTTTGATTTGACTGAAAGCTAGTATAGCTTTTTAATTGGGAGCTTCAGAGTTGATTAAAAGATGGGCAGCTACATAAATGTTTTAAATATAACAGCTATGTTTTAAATTCATGGTTTACTACTGAGTGCTGCTTTGTTGCAGATGTTTTTTAAAATGTAATTTTTACCAGGTTTCTTGATAGAGAATGAAACAATTGCCTAGGGCTTTTACATGAAAGAGGTACCATCAATATTAACAATATTGATCAATAGAATCAGCTGCAGGCAGATGGGGCACTAGAAAGTTGCTCAAGTGATTTTTTTCCCTCCTACATGGAAATATATTATTCAATTCCTCCATTTATTACTTGCCTATCTCTACTTTCCTATTGGAAAATAGTCTTCAGTTGCTTATTCATGGGTTTGAGAATAGATGGGGATTTCCATTCCAAATTGAAACCCCTTATATTATATGAGAAGCCATTCTTCAAGACCTGTGGCCTCTAGAGAATAGAATTCAATCAGGCACAGTGGAATATAGATGAAATGAAAATCACAACCCTCTGTTTTATGCATGCAAAATACACTTCATGTTTTAGCCCTATGACAAAACCAAGTGCAAAGATTCCTAGAGGGGCAGTTTGAGGGCAAATTACAGATATTTCTAAATGAAAAAATAAAAATTGGTGGAGAGGTGCTAGAAATACCACCTTGTTATATTCGGGCAGACTTTTTTTCACTCCCAGAGCCAACAGTTTCATACAGCTTTAAGATTAGTTAGAGATTGTACAGTTGCTGCTTCATGCATTTACAATTTACTTTTACACGCCTTTTTCACCTTGGCAAATATTCAAGGTTTTCAATAAAAATACCAAATTTTATGCATAGTGAAAGAATTCTTATCTTGCAGTGTTCTATATTCAAAAAGCTATATAGATTATTCTTTAAAATGTGAATTTAAATTACAGCATTTTTGTGTGTTTTCTTAAGTTTTAGAAATGTTCAGCAAAAATTGTTCTGCAAAAATAATATGGAAAAAAGAAAGAATATGAATTGCTCCAACCAAGAATTGTGGATGATAAAGCTAATACAGATTTATGTGATCAACACATTCAAGAAAAATTGAATGTTTACAGCCTTTAAATATACTAGGGTTAGATATTATTTGAGATCCCCAACTGACCATAGAGGACACAAGAACAACAAAGATAAATTCAAGTTGGGACACAGTAAATGAAATGACTTATTATATCTCTTGAAACATCTGGAAAATACAGTCATCATTCTCCTTGGTTTCTTCATGAAAAAACAGTAAAAATAAAATATAGCAAGAACTTAAGAAAAATGCTTTTAACAAATTCCAAACTTTCTTAAAACTTTAATAATTTCAACCATATTAAACATCACAGGAGTAGTTCATCAATTTAGATTTCAGGAAATTGAAAAGACCAGCTTCATCCTTCCTTGAAAATATATGATTAATCAATTTATTGGTATTTTAGTGGAAGAAAAGTAGAGAATGTACTAAGGACAACATGATAATGTTAAAGATTATGGAAACTGGGAACTTTTCTTGGGGGTATAGGCTTTGCTTCTTTCTGGTGCTATACATTATACATCTGTCTGTTTGTAACACAATTTGCTGGTGCTATGTACATTATACAAATTCTTTGGAAGTTGCAGTACTTTTAACAGTGATACTAAAATTAAGCCATTATAAAAATATTTTTTGAAACAGTTTTGAAAGTCTACCTGAAATGTATATTAAACATGAATTTGTTTTTAGTTCCACAAGCTTGGCCATATTTAAGATATAGCACAAGTTCTAAAAATATCCAGGTTTAGGTGTTACCTCCCCAGAATGATGATTTTGCTAATCTGGTTCTAATAATATTGTCTTCTCTTCAGGTATTCAGGAACAGATTGTATTCAGAACCATGACACCAAAATAATAAAACATGCATTGGGATGCTACCATGCAAGTTTTATGCTTTTGTACTTGCATTGCCATATTGCCCACAATTACATAATTTATAGAGTTTGCATCATATCACAATGCACTTTTGTCACTTTGTCCCTACTTGCACATGCCTTTGTCTGCATAAGAGAAGATGTATTGGCTTCCTAAGAGTCAATATTCTCATAATGGCTGAATGAGTCAAATCTGCAGGAAAGCTAGCAGCACTTAAAACACAATGTTAGTAAGGGGGCTTAATCAGTGGTACTATAAGGAGTTAATAGAAAATGAATTTCTCCTAAAAGACAAATATATTGTACCAATTGCTATGGATATATTAATGCTTGATTACCTACAGTACTGTATAAAATTAAGGACAGCTGCCAGAATTCCTTTAAAAATGGACGTTTAAATTCTTGTGTATGCTAACCTGAATAAACTTGAAAAAAAACCACAGTGCTTTACAGATTGCTATTTCTATCAGATTTCCAATTTAATTTTACTTTTTTAAAATGTAGAACTAATTTGAGATTTAAAGTGCTTACAGATTGTTTTAAAGATATCTATTATTGGATAATAAACAGGCAAGGTTTTCTTAAATATTTAGTTTATGACATAGAACATGTATACATGGCTTGTTTAAAATTAAAAATTCATCTTAACTTTTTCAGATGTGTCCTATTCTACATATGGTACTTGCAATTGTAAAATATATTGTTAATTTTCCCTAATCCAAGTTATGTGAAAACACTTTTAATCCATAACACCTAGAGAATCTCAAATATTTGGAAGTGAAGAGTTCAACAGAGTATGACATAAAAGAAATATTATAAAAACATTGAATAATTTATGTCATGCCATATGGGAGTTTTAAAGCCCACATTCACCAAATGTTTGGTGAAGTTTGGAAGGCATATGCACTGATAGACAGACTACATTTGCACTTAATTGCACATCTTCTGGCTTCTTGATGCATAACATGTCCATATCCGCTCTTCCTAGAAACAGGGAAAATATGAGCAGCTTCCTGGAAGTTTTTTAAAAAATATATTGGGTAACAATGGACTTAGCTTGTTTCTGGAACAAGTCAGGATTCCTTAATTGCATTGAATATTAAATAGCTATGAGGAAGATGTCTGCATTTTGTTACCCATGCCTGATTGAAGAGGAGCCAGCTTATTATGCCTCTTAATGAGACATAACTGAGTTTATCATGTTATGTACATGGCTTTTTAGATCCCAGGCAAAAGTCTAAGCAACAGCTCCTTTAAAAAAATAACATGGAATAATCCACCCAGAGCTGACCAAGTGTGTTGTAATGCATCATCCCACATAATAGCAATTCTAAACAAGTTAGGGAAAGTATACGCAGTATAGTTCTTTAATTCTTTACAAGTACTCTAACGGTGATTATAGGAGATGTCTGTATATTTTTTTATGTAACCAAGTAATTCATAGCATCTGTACCTGGGATACAGGATGGAGGGACTAGATGCACCATTCCAAGCACAATTCCCTCACACATAGCATTGGGGATTTTTTTTCTAGAATTATTTTCTTTGTAAATTCCATGCCAGATTTGTTCCCATTCTCTTCAGGTTTTTTTTGAGAGTCATCCTTCTGATAAAGAATTGATTTCCTTTATTATCATCTTTCCAACATTTTGTTGGAATGGAAGAAGTCAAAACAGATTATACATACAATCTGAACAGACACTGAACAGTTATATACTAGGACACTATCATAGGAGAGATTCATCTAGCATCTATGTTGCCAAAAATCGAAGGGAACAGTGCTGATTTTTACATACCTGGCCACTACTGCCTTTCCTTTATCTTCTAGAAGTCTGTAACCATCTTCCTATCCTAGCTGTATCACACAAGTTGCTTGGTTTTTGAAGGGCTTCAGAATGCTTAATTATTTTTTTTTTACAAGAAGTGACTTGAACACTCACATGTTAAATAACTGCCCTATAATTGTTCTGTTTTGGCATATTTGTAAATGTAATGTACACAATCTGAAGTTTTTACTCTGACTTGTTTTCTTGTATTAATCACTTAAAATGTCGTAAGTTATATGCCAGTAGTAATGTTTAATCAAGATGAGTCTGAAACTATGCCTTTTGCACATTCTATATATTTATGTAAAACATATGCCGTATTTTTCAGAGTATAAGATTCACCTTTTTCCTTCCTAAAAGGGGGTGAAAATTTAGATGCGTCTTATACACCGAATGTAGTCCCACCCACCCACTGGCCCTCACCCTTTGGCCTCTGCTTCCCAGCAGTTACCTCCTTGCAAGCAAACAGCAAGAAAAAAACAGCTCCTCTCAGCTGATTTGCTCTTAGCTGTTGTGCAGCAGGGCTCTGCTGCTTGCTGCAAAGAGGTAAATTGCTGGAGCAGATTTTTTTTTCCTTGTGCTAATCAAGCTATGCTGAAAACGAAAATGAAAGTAAAGCAGGCTATTTGCTGCCACGAGGCAAAATTGCACAGAGGCAGAGGGAGATTTCTTTTTCTTCTTTTCCTCACCAAAAAAGGTAGGTGCGTCTTATACTCCGGTATATATAATTATGCAGCCTTATTTTCATATGAGTGGAGAAGTGTATGATTGTAGTTTTTTCCTTGATCTCTTTTATCCAGTTTAAGGAGACTATGGAAACTACTCCCACATACTGACACATTATGAAGGATTAAACTACTTAGATATCACTAATTTTCTGACAGCCCAGTTACATACCCAGATAAACTATAGAGTACTCTGAAAATAACCATGTTGCTCATAACATATTTCCTTTGAAATAAACGGAAATTGTGCTTTGTGGTATAATATGAAACAAAAAGAAGGGGCATAAATCATAAAGTAAGAACTTTATTATAAATAAGCTATAATAAAATCATAAATCCATAATATTAGCACTACATATCTTGCTACCTAAATATTTAAATTTAAGGTGATATATCAAATAGGTAAAATTATAGCTGCCTATGCCCTGTTTCTAACAACATACTTTCTAACAGAACTATGTTGCTATTGTCAATGTAGGGCTGATATAACCATGATGATAAATAGACCATCACTAGATCTTGGTCAGCAGTATGAGCAATTTCTTCCACAATGGTGTGCTTGAGTTTCAGTTCTTGGGAATACATATCTAAGAGCTTGACCGAGACTTCATCTGAAAAAGAAGTAAAAATAATTGGTTCTGCATTGTGTTTTATAACCTATTTCTGTGACACATTTCTCAGCATACTGCAACATAGTACGTGCATAAAATTTGGCTGATCTTGGAATCTAAGTAGATCAGACCTGATTAGCACTTGAATCTTATTACTGCCAAGAAAAGAGTGGGGATATGCCTATGAATTTACTAGACGTTCAGCTCAATACATAAAAGAATTTAGTTTAAAACCTTTCAGTATTAATTATTGGATAGAAAAACTATAAATTCTGAAGTTTTGTGCAAGGTTTTATACAATTGATAACTTTGGCTTAAACTGTAGGATACATCCATCTCGATTTATAATATAGAAACTTGAAAACTGCACTCAGATGAAATAATCTCTCTACAGAACTAAAGTTCAACATGTCTGAATGTATTTACTTGCTCATCAGAGATTGGCAAATCATTTAGTCACAGTTCAGCTATTAGACAATTAAGGGGAAATTTAAGGAGGATATGATATAAAAAACTAAATTAGTTCTTTGCCTTTAAGTGACTTTACTCCCCAAGATGTAAGTAGATAACTGAACCTGAATTTACTTGAAAGGAGCAGTGACAAGAGCAGACAAATCACTGAGTTCTGATAGCAGAGACTAGGGATTTTTTAAGCTTAAAAATGAAATTGCATATTTCCAACCAAGAATATATAATTTAGCCCCTCAGAGCAGACAGAGTTATCAGGAGTAAAAAGTAGTTAGGACATGTCAAACCTTCAGAAAAAGCCAAGCCAGGAAATAGGCTCCACAAATTCCACTGGAACTATATTTTATTTTTATTTATTTTATTGAAGTAAACTACAGTGAAATTACTTCAAAAGCCTGACTATATTTTTCCTTCTATCTGTTATACCTAGGTGAACTAAGATAGAACCTGTTCCAAATTAATTTCTTATGCTTTCTCTTCCCTGGTCTTAATACTTTTGTTTTTGTAACGATTTCTCCATATTCTCTCCAAGGCCCATCTCTGTGGCTCGCTGTAATGGGATGCCACTTTTAAAATTGGACCCAAAGATGATCTGGAATAAATAAGGGAAATCATAATGAGATGCAGGACTAAAATCCTGTTTCACCACCACTCCAGAATTTTTTGGGTCAAAAAGTAGGTAGATGCAGCTTGTTGATGCTGCTTATTCGGATTTTCAACAGCCTTTGGCAAAGTTCCTTATCAGTGAACTCAGCAAACATGGGATAACAAGATCTCTTATTTAATGGATTGCTAGCTAGTTAAAAATAATCAAGTCCTGTGTTAAGCACATTGGGCTACTATTACTAATTAAAAACAGAAGTAAAAACAGAAATAAATGGTCAACTGCCTCAAAAGGGATAATACAAGAAGTGCAATCCCTTGTTGAACTGCGTTGACACCAGAGTTTCCAAACTTGTTCATAAACTATCTTGATTACAGATAGATTACAGTATATGGTATTTAGTGTGGTAAAAATTTAAAATGATTATGAACAGTTCCAGAAGGATTCCTTTAAAAGCACAAATGGTCAATCAAATGGCTTCAATTTAACCAAACAGTTAAATCTAAGTGAGTGTAAAGTGATGTATAAAACCCAGACAGCATCTGTCGGTAGTTGTAAAAAAAGACAAATTCTGCTCTAAGGGTTAAAAGAAAAAGGACTGAGATTTAAAATGCGAACACTGTAAGGCTCTTAAGAAATTTATGACATGCCTGATTCTAGAATCATAAGTACATTTCTGATTGGCATATTTTTTTAAAAAAGATATTCAACATCTTTATAATAAGTAGGTGAGGAAATAGAAGAGATACATTCATAACATTGGCAGATATCACAAAAATGGGGAGGGGGGGAACTGCTTTAAAAAGATATCGATAGCTCTGAACACTAGGCCCTGCCTAACAAAAATATTGTTAAGTAATTAGACAAATAGGCACTCAGATGCAGGAAAAATCAGATGCACATTTACAAGATAGGCAGCACCTGGCTTATTATTATTAGTGTTTGCAATTAGAGTCTGGGAGTTCTGACAGACCAGATTAAATTGGACCAGCAACGTGACAAAAGAACAAATGCAGTTTTGGGCTGCATCAACAAAATATAATGCCAAGATAATGGGAAGTGATAATACCACTCTATGTTGTTAACTAGTCAGACCATACTGGGGATTCTATGTCCGGTTCTCATTGCCACAATACAAAAAAGATGCTAAGGAGCTGATAAGAGTGCAAAGAAGAGGAACAAAGTTGGTAAATTCTACAAAGCACA